GGTGAGTCATTCAGTCTGTCTGTCTGTCTCTCTCTTTTTGTCCGTCAGTCAGCCAGAGAGAATTAGAATGCCTGTGTGTTTCTTTTATCGCCTTCCTTTCCCTTCTATTCGTACATCGTCTCACGTTTTCTTGTTCTTCCATTCTTCCCTTCCCGTCCTTATTGTCCTCCTTATTCTCTGCTCCTCTGCCTCCTCCATTTCCCTCTCCGTTCCCATGAACCAGTTAGATAAATAGACTGATAAGATGATAACAATTGAGACAGCGAGGGGTGGAAAGGGAGGGCGGGGCGCATGTGTAACTATGCGTTTCGGTAAGAGGAAGTGTGTGTGTGTTTTGTGTGTGTGAGAGTGAGTGAGTGAGTGAGTGAGTGAGTGATTGTGTGTATGTATTTTAGTATATTTGTGCGAGTGATTGAGTCAGTGAATGAGTCAGTTGGTGTGTATGTGTTTCTTTATTTGTTTATTTATTTGTTTTCATTTATTTATCAGAGAAGGTGTGCTGGTATTCCATTAAGTGTCTTAGAAATTCAGTTGTAGATCAAGAAAAAGAGAATGAACTTAAATCACATAACGTGTTCGCCCGCTCGACCGGAAAAATCAATTTGGAGTTTTCAAATTTCCTTTTTCTTCTTCAGTTTTTTGTATATCCTCGAGCTTTCTCTCTCTCTCTGTCTCTCTTTCACTCTTTCTCTCTTCTACTTTCTCCCGTGATATGCAAGTTCGAGAACACGAAGGAACAAGTTGAAGAAGGTAAAAAAAAGTCTATTAAAAGAGAACCAGTTTTCTTCAAGAGGAAAAGCAGCGGTTTCGTGTTTCTTACTTTTCTTAAGCCGTCGGGGAATCTATCTATTTTTGTTTTATTTGTTGACTCTCTTTCTATCCCTTTCTATTTCTTCTTCGTCTTTATTTCTCTTTCTCTCGTTTTCGTCTTCTTCCTCTGTCTCTTTCTCTTTTTGTCATACGCGTTCTTGGTCGTCTTCTCTCTTTCTTTCTCCTTTTTCCACGCTCTCACTCTCGTTCTCTCACCCTGGCTCTCATTCTCACTCTTTCTCACTCCTGCTCACTCATTCTCACATCCACTCTCAATCTCTCTCGCTCATTCTCACTCTTACTCTCTTCACTTCTCACTCTTACTCTCATTCTTACTCTCACTCTTACTCTCACTCTCACTACCACTACCACTCCCACTCTCACTCCACTCTCACTCACTCATTCTCACTCCCACTCTCACTCTTGCTTGAAATCGAAAATTGATTTGTTACGTTTTAGAGACATTCTGGGAACTGTTTACGCTTAATTTCGATAAGTAAGTTTGAATGTTATATGTAAAACAATATGAGAAAGAATGAATTATGGTGTATACGTGTGTAAAACATAAACATACATGTGTGTGTCTTGTGTATGTAATTATAGCTAGGTAGGTAGATGTAGAAATAAGTAGATAGATATAGATGTCGATAGTTTAATAGATAGGTAGCGAGGGAGAAAGAGTTATCTTTACTATATCGTTCAAGTCACTTTTTTCGTGATAACTATCGTTTCATTCGCCTTATTTATTTTTAATTTTCTCCGTTCACCTCTTTCGTTCCCACCGCTAGCTCTTTTCACGAAAGGAATTCCTTCGCCTGGGGTCAAACGAAGCGAAAGTGTCGGGGGGAAAGGGGAGAAAGAGGGGAGGGGAGGGGAGGGGGAGGGGAAGGGGAGGGTGCAGAGAAGCCGTTTAAGGGCCAGGGGGAAGGGGGAAGGGGGAGGGGGGGAGGAGAAGGGTACCCGTTATTCGAGTCCCGAGGATACATACCCGGATACCCGGAACCATTCTCGTCACCCGGTTTGGGTATCCGGAGGGGTTAGAGGGGCTGGTAGGTAAGCTACATACACCCAGAGAAAGGAGAAGAGGAGAGAGAGAGAGAGAGAGAGAGAGAGAGAGAGAGAGAAGACAGACAGACAGACAGACAGCAGAGACAGACAGACAGACAGAGACAGACAGACAGACAGACAGACAGACAGACAGACAGACAGACCAGAGACAGAGACAGAGACAGAGAGGCGTGAGAGGCAGAGGCCGTGGGTGTTTTGAGTTACGTCTCCTTGTTTGCGGTCGTAAATTTCCCCTGACGTTGAAATTACGAATATAGTAAAAAAAAAAAAAAAATGGTGGGTGAAGTAAATCAAAATATAAACAAAAGGTGGACGGGCAAAAAAAAAAGGGGGGGGGAGTTAGACTACGGAAAAGGAAATTTAGGATTTAGGATTTGTTCGTGCTTGGTCTTCTTCTTTTTTTTTTTTTATTTCTGAAATGTCTCACTATATTCCATTAGTCTCTCTCTCTCTCTCTCTCTCTCTCTCTCTCCTCTCTCTCTCTCTCTCTCTCTCTCTCTCTCTCTCTCTCTCTCTCTCTCTCTCTCTCTCTCTCTCTCTCTCTCTCTCTCTCTCTCTCTCTCTCTCTCTCTCTCTCTCTCTCTCTCTCTCTCTCTTTTCTCTCTCTTTCTTCTCCCTCCCTCCCTCCACCTTTTTCTCTCTCGCTCTTTTTTTCCTCAATCTCGCTCCCCTCTGCCTCTCATTCTACTCTTTCTCAATTCATTCGTTTAGCACCGTTTAGAAACAACCCCGTACCCCACCCCCCTCCCCTCCGATTCGTGTAAGTCTGCCCCCTCCCTACCCCTATCCCCACCCACCGTACCCCTCCCCACCCCACCCCATCCCGCGCCCGTTGTGTGAAGGCGAGCGAGAGAATGTCATGCTCAGGTCTTGTTGCCGTCATGAGGTGCATGATGTGGGATGTGTGTGTTTTGAGAGGCGGTATTTTCGTATTACTGTTTGGGCATCTCTCTCTTTTTCTTTCTCTTTCTTTTTTGTTCTTTTTTCTCTTTCTTGCTCTTTTTTTGTTTTTTTTCTCTTTCTTTGCTCTTTCTCTTTCTTTCTTCTCCTTCTCTTTCTTTTTCTTTTTAACTCTATCTATCTATCTGTCTTTCTTCTTCCCTTCTTCTTTCTTTCTTCACGTCCTCCTCCTCCTCCCTCCTCCTCCTTTCTCAGCCTCCTTCTCCTCCTCCTTTCTCTTTCTCAATCTCCTCCTCGTTCTCCTCCTTTCTCTTTCTCAGTCTCCTTCTCCTTCTCCTTCTCCTTCCCCTCCTCCTCCTCCTTTCTTTTTCTCAGTCTCCTCCTCTTTTCTCTTTCTCAGTCTCCTCCTCCTCTTTTTTCTTTCCCAGTCTCCTTCTCTTCCTCCTTTCTCTTTCTCAGTCTCCTTCTCCTTCTCCTTCTCCTCCTCCTTTCTTTTTCTCAGTCTCCTCCTGTTTTCTCTTTCTCAGTCTCCTCCTCCTCTTTTTTCTTTCCCAGTCTCCTTCTCCTCCTCCTTTTTCTTTCTCAACCTCCTTTTCCTCCTTCTTCCTTCTTTCCTCCTCCTAGTATTTTGTCGAAAAGGGAGAATGGTGGAGCCATTGCGTATCACTTTCCTCCCGTCACACTCCTTCGCACTCCGTCACACTCCCACGCCTCTCTCCTTGTCACCCACTCCCACCCTTCACCTCCCGCCCCTTCCCTTCCTCCCCACTTCCCCATACGTCGCCACATCCCGTCCCCTCCCCCTACCCCTCAGCCGTCACTCTCCCCCCTCCCCCCTCCTCTTCCCTCTCCCCTCGCCGTCACTTTCACCCCTCCTCCCCTCTCCCCCTCACCGTCACTCTCTCTCCTCCTCCACCCCTCCCCTTCCCCTTCCCTTCCCCTTCCCCAACCCCTACCCTTTCCCTCCCCCCTTTCCCCCCCTCCCCCCTTTCCCCACTTTCAGTCTCACTCTCACTCTGTTGAATCACGCTTACAGCTCACTGAAGCTCTCTGGCGTGGCGGTAGTTGAGAAGTGTGTTGCAGTGGTTTGTTTTCATTGTTCGGATTTTTTCTTTCGTTTTTTGGTCGTTCTTATAAACCGTTATTTTGTTGTTGTTTTTTTTATTGTGAATGGAGCACACGGGATGTGTCTCGTCGCTATCGTAGTTTTTTTCTTTGCGTTTTTCTCATTGCTTCTTTCTTTTTTATTGTTTTTTTTTTCTCTCTCTCTTTTTTTTTTATCTTATTCTATTTGTTTCAAATCTGTTATTGTTTTTATTTATCTTTTTTGCTTTTTTTATATTTTTTATTTTATATCATTTCTTCATTTTTATTTTTTTCTCTGTTATTCGTGTTGTTTCTTGTCGTTGTGATTGGCCGTTTGCGTGCCGGTAGAGCCCAGGGAGGCCAGCATGTGCGTGATAGAATGAAGGAAGTTGGCGGATCATGGAACGGATTGGAAGAGGGAGGGAGGGAGGGAGGGAGGGAAGGGAAGGAGGATGAGGAGGAAGGAGTAGGGGGAGGAAGGGAGGGAAGGAGGAAGAAGGGAGGGGAAGGAGCTAAGAATGGAGGGAGGGAGGAGGGAGGAGGAGCTAAGAGTGAAGGGGGGAGGGAGGGAGGAGGGAAGGAAGTGAGGGAGTGAGGCAGGGAAAGAGGGTAGTAAGGAAGGAATGAAAGAGGAAAGGAGGAAAAGAGTTAATGAATGGATGTGTGAGTTACTAGGGGAAAAAAAGGAGGGAAGGAGGGAGGGAGGAAAGAAGGAAGGAAATTGGGGATGTAAGAAGGGCAGTAGTGAAGGAGAGAAAGAAAAAAAGAAAAAAATCAGTGAAATTTATAGTACATCATTTGCAAACGCATTGCAAGTTATATTACCCTGTGCACAAGTGCTTCGAGTTCGTACTTTGCGCTACGTTCGTGTGTTTTCCATCCTATAATGTTTCGTGATGAATTTTAATGCTTTTGTTGTTTGACGACATGTTGTTTATCGAACGCAAAGGAAACACGTGTTGTGTGAATTTGAATCTCTTATTATGTGTCGTAAAACAAACACGTGAATGAATATCTGAATAAGGAGTTGGCTGAGTGAAAAAAATGATGAGAAAATTATTGAAACATATGTGAAAGAGAAGTTGTGAATCATGTTTTTTATTTGTTTTTTTGTCTTTTGTCCGTGCGTGTTTCAG